GTGATGAGTATAAAGCCAGGTATGATATCCAATTAAAAGAAATAAAATCACTCCAGGCTATGATTAAGATATTGGAGAGTAAGTTAGCATCAGCCCAAAAAGACGCATTTTCGATTCAGGAAAATTCATCAAAAAAAGATTCTGAGATTGTGTCTCTTAAAGCTGAACTAGAGCATATAAAGAGTAAATTGGCTTCAAAGATCAATGAGCTTGAACGATTAAAATCAGATACTACATTGGCACGGCCAAGATCCGTGATTACTGGAGGCGACGAAAAAAATACGCAGAGCGAGGAACAAAGTTCCATATCGAATTCTGGTAGGTTCGAAAAACCGTTGCTTTGCAATAATAATCTTGCCCAATATTTTGTACGTAGAAAGAAAGATGAAAGTATTCTTACACATGAATCTTCAAAAGTAAGTACTCCCATACTGGCTCATGATGATATAGATGATACAAAGTATCAAACCCCAGAAATAAAAAAGAATATGACTCCGATTAGCACGAATGTACGAGTGAGTGCTAAATCTAATCCTCAGATTTATAATATCACAAAAGAAGGGGTAAAGAATTACCTATTGTAGCGTTAGGTGCAGGTATGATTAATAACGATAATAAATATCAAACTCCTCCTATTATTAAGTTCGCTATTTTGCCTTAGTGGTAATATTAATTATATGGTATATATACAGGAAAATTTTTCGTCAAATCCCACCTTCTCGTTCTTTGAACTCGAAGCCAGATTATAGCCATCGCACGACCGCCTCTGGCAATCTGTTTTCTGGAATATATAAACCGACCATGAACAAACAAAGTGAAGTGAACTATCGGGGGGAAGAAATTTTTTATCCAGTCTATAGAAATCAGAGTCATGGATTCCCAATCCGTCGTACAAAAAAACCAAAAGAAAGAACTATTGCAGAGCAATGGCTCATCGAGCCTACCACCTATGAAACTTTACCTTATGGATATGGATGAGGCACAAAGCATGGATCATCCAGAAATGTCGGACATCCATCAATGACATGGCCTTTCAGTAAACTAGTCACTGGGAGGAGTGGAACAGGTAAGACCAATTTACTGGCAAACCTTGTTCTCGGAGATAAAGCAGAATATATATATAAAAGACAAAAGGGAGGATCCCGATATATTAAATGTGATGATTTGATAGTTTGTGGTTATCATCCTGACGAGCCAAAATGGACATTCGTTAGATACATGTATGGAATAATTGCAAGTAATCCTAAAGCACCTTATTATGAGAATATTAGATTCAGATACATATTGCCGGAAAAAATTCCTAGTGTAAAATCATTTTCGCCTGAGAGAAGTACTATAATTATTTTTGAGGATTTATGCGTCGCTCCAGAGTCAATACAAAATCGAATAATCCCATTTTTCACACATGGGCGACATCGAAATATAAGTCCAATCTATGTAACACAAAAATATCATCATGTCCCGATAATTATTCGTGAAAATCTTACCCACTTAGTTATATTTAATGGGGGCAGTAGATATCAAGATGTGTCAAAGATAGCCGGTCGTTATACTGATGATGTTAAGAACGCATCAATGGTTATTAATAGTTACCTTCGAAAAAATGAATTTATTGTATTTGATCTTACTAGGTCAGAAGATGATCCTTTAGCAATTCGGTTAAGATTTGATACTCCACTTGATTTACAGAAAGAGATAGAATTGCGTCAAAAGAATAAAAAGCAAATTAACTGATACATAGGGAAAATGTATAAAAATTCATGTGATTAAAATTATGGAATATATATCAATAAAAAATAGCTATTAATCATCACGAAATATAGCAGTGAGTGAAAATCTATTTCGGGCATGTAAGATCTATTTCAGACACGTGGAATCTATTTCGGGGTGGGGACACAAAGTGTCTTTGCTCTGTGCAAATCTATATCGGGCAATGTTGACTCGAGAAAATATACTTTTGGTATGTGTAACTTAGAGGCTTCCGAAAATAAGCCACCTACTTTAAATAACGCGTGGTTTACTGAGTAAACATGCTACCGCATCCGATTATCCGAAAGTATACGATAATTCAATCACCGGGGCCAGCTTTGTCTCTTTGACACTAGCAATGTCGTATTAACTATCAAAATATTACGGATTATCAATAGTGTTTCTAAAATTTTGCTACTATAATAACAATTCTTTATTATAATAAATTGGACTGATAAAACACGCTAGACTACTCACCAGCACGACTAAATAACCCATTACATTATTACGACAGCTGTTCGTCTTCCTCTTTGTCTTCTTGTAAGAGTGATTCACGAATTTTGACCAATGCTGTCAATACTGTCCGTCTGCCGTCCGGTTCAGCGAGATCGAAACCAGTCCTCAAGCCATTCTTGATTGGCCATCTTTCAATCTCAAATTTCTGTTTGTTCGGTAGGCCGTTTTCAAGTTCCACCCAATACGCTGCGGGAATCACAGCTTTATAAAACGTAACATATGAAGAGATGACGCGAATGGCCCATAATATCTGATCTGTATGTTCCTCCGAGCCAATAGAACGTATATTCTCACTACCACAAGCGAGAATTTCTACAGCAATCTGTGTTTCTCCAAATCCAGTGCTTCCCCCGACATTTTTCAGGTGTTTGTCCTGTTAAAAAATCGGTTAAGCCGATGAAAATCATAGCCTGTCAAACGGTTAACAATATACAGACATCCACCACAATAACAGCCATTTTTCGCTTCCCTACTACAAATTCGGGCTCTGATGACACGCAAGGATCATCTTCAATGTATAACTTGCATAGCGGATGATTTCTGGATTTTGAAATGCAACTTTAGAAACCATTGTATTATCACAAATAGAAGTTAATCACCTGATCATTAAGGGCCAGTCATCCAACTTAGCGATACGAAGCAGATTATCCACAAGTGTATCAGTAAAAGTTTCGTTGGTGCCTATAACTTCAAGACCATTCATCACGACGTTATGCAATTTCATAAAGAAAGTTCGAGCACGCTTATCCGTGAGTCCTTCAATATTTTCAACATCGAAATATGGATTTCCAAGTATATGACTACTGATATCAGGGCAAACATACTTATCCGGAATTTTGGTGACTGGAAAACAGATTGCAAGTATTAGGTTCGCTGAGAGGATTGCTGATACACTTAGATCTTACCTTCAACATCGGGTATAACAGCGTTCTCGCTTGAAGCTGGTTTGAAGCCCACTCTCAGTAGGTCAATATCTCGTAGTTTAAATTTGGATGCGGAGGGAGGGAGGTTGTAGATAGATGAGGAGGTTGTATGCTCAGCTTTTTTGTTTCTTTGCAAAGTTAGGGAAAAAAATCTTGGTCGGAGAGTACGCACGGCAGAGCGAGAAAACCTCGCAACGAGACTGAGTAAAGACATTTTATAAACAAAAAATTGATGATGCCTCTATTGAAACGAGAAAAATACACGTAACAAAGTCATGGCAAAAAAAAGGTGGTAAGGGGCTATATATACAACGATCACCCGATTAACCTGATTCTGATTTATAACGTAACCGTGCATATTTATAATACAATAATATAATATACTGTACATCTTATTAGCCACTTCTATTACAGTCGGGGAGATTTCAAATTTTGTAGATCAATTCTGGAATAATCTGTAAGAAAATCTCGAAATCTGATTGGTGCTTAGCATTGTTAGCATAGAGAATTTGATGACGCTTTATCGATTGAATACTCAAATAAAAAATCGAAACTAACGGTAGAAACATACTTTTACGAACATACAGTTTCAGAATTCACGAGGATTCACGTAACTTTACATAGTAGTTTTCTATTAAATTGTTTAAAATTATGCTTCACTCTATGATGAATGTCAAAGACTTATCCTGTCTGTTTGAGTTTCTTGCCAATGAATATGACGAAAGTCAATTAGTAAAATGTGAGACTAAAGAAAGTCAAAGATGGTGACATGTATCAGCTAGTGCTGCAGCAGAGAATATAACAAAAATGGCCAAGTATTTTTCTAGATTAATTATATTACTTGACTCTCTAGACAATTACTCTTTATGTGAAAGATATTACAATCAGATTATTGTTAAGAAGTCTTTTACTAAACGAATTACCAAAATAAATGACTCAATTTTTTTAGATTCAGAAGAAACAGAGAGAAAAAAGCCAAGACTCTAGTGACAATAAGTTGTTAGAATTCAAAAAAACTTTTTCAGATTTTGGAGTCTAAGTATTCTTGCCAGATCTAGCATATGAAGTTCATATAAAATAGATATAAAAGCTAGAAGATATCAATTGGCAATTATTGTCTGAGAATGCAGCATTAAAGAAGCAGTTAGATGAAGTATTTAATAATCAACAAGGTCATATTAAATCTGTGACAGAAATCACCAAAAGAGAATGAGATAATTTGTATAGTGACATAATAAGTTTGAAGAAAAATCATAAATATTTTAGTTTAAATAATCTTTTAAAGTATTGTCCTTTAACATAACTTGCAGAGTGAAATTCAATTATTATGAGATTTATTAAAACTCTTACCCATAATGATAATAAATATCAAAATAAAAAGGAGAAGTTTTTTAAGTATACTGTAGTGGTTGATGCTATATATAGATCAAGATACTTAAAATATGTCTCCACCATTAATTTAGCTACTTCAGCAATCAAATATTTAGTAGTAAGATTGAAAATGATTATTAATATTGATAATTATATTATGAGCTCCAGTTGCTATAAGAAGTTTACTAACTGATTAGAAAGTTTGATTATAAAATAGTCAAAACTTTCTAAAGGTTTTTTATTTTTAGTCTTTGATAATGAATAGAAAGGTCAAAAAAATTACTTAGATTATGAATATAATATGATCATATTCAATATTGTTACAAGTTTTGTCACTTTTAATTATGATTAAATTAATGACATTCAGAGTACAGATCCTTGGCTATATTCTAAACTTCCTGAAAAGAAATATGAGAAATTATTATTTTTAACTTCAGGTATGGTAAATGAAATTCACAAAGAATTCACTAATTATCTTATTATTATTTTAGAAGAGCTTTATGTGAAGAAAAGTCAAGAAATAAATATAATTGATGAATTAGTACAATATCAAAGCCAGATCGGTTCTGTAAAAAAATGCTCAGCTTGTTAATTATCTAATATTGATAATAAGAAGTGAGTTTATTCTGTATATCATAATAAATTACTGATAATCACTGAGATGAATCAATTGAATAAATTAGCTAATATCACTAAAAAAATCTATTACCTATTTTTACATATTTGAAAATATATAATTATATCTGAAAATTGAGATTTATATACCATAACTATATATTCTTGATCTAATAGCTATAAACCCAAACTTAATTATCAATATTTGAAAGGTTTTTAAGCATATTAAAAAATTATTTGACATAAAGATAGTAATTGCAGATGAATTATAGTAATATGTGATGAAATACCTTATCATTGTGTGTAAATAATCAAAAAAAATTTTTCTTGACTTATATTAGTTTCAGATACTCTTCATGAAGAGATAAATATGCTAAAAGTATTTGTTAAGCTAAATTGGAATATTAATATAAGATATTTTATTCAATATCAAGAATATTAGAGTAAAAGTTAACTGTAATTTTTTAAAAAATATTCAGATCATCATAAGTTATGAGATTTGATATGCAATATATATAGGCATGCAATAGCTTCTGAATTAATATAGTTATATATTATTTTCAAGAAAAATTTATCTGTCAAAGATTACTTAGAATAGATCCAAAATAAAATAAATTTTATATTTAGGTTAAAGTACAAACAAGTCTTTTTTTATTTATAAGCAATTATTAACTTTCATACTGGAATTTATTTTAATAGATCTTTATTAAGACTCATAGCTAGACAAATATTTATACCAATTTGATCTGCTTGATATCATTCTATTTACTGATTAATTAAAATTGCTGATGAAGAATAATAGCTATAATTGAAGTCTAAAGTTTGCAAGCTAATTCAAGAAAGAATTATTATTTTTCAATCTAAACTTTCAAATTAACATCAAGATCATGATATAATATTTAAAGAAATTAACAAAATACTTAAATTGTTAATTCCTTCTATATCTTTATAATAGTATTAGAAAATTACAACATGTAACTATATCAAATTTGAGAGATTGCATACTAATCTTTTTAATATGATTAGATATTCTGAAAGTGAAATATATAAATTTTATACACATCCTAGCTTTATTGCTAAATTAAATTAATTTTAAATTCAGATAAGAAAGACGCAGTTTATAAATCTAAATATTTCTAATCATATTTTTTGTGATATTAGTTGTAAATAGATATTAAGTAAAGAAATAAAAAAATTCAGTAAAATTATATAGATGAAAAGAATAAACTTTCTTAAAGCAAGATAAATTAAGAAAATATCATTAGATACTTGATGACCAATTTTAGTAATAAGTAAAGAAGCAGATTACTAAAAAAATAAAAATCTGTTAATAAAATCATAATTATTATCTATTATTAACTCTCTAACATCTCTTTTAAGTATAATCTCATGATAGCTTAATGAATATTCTTTAAGAAGTTAGAAATATATTATCTGATAAGATTATTAATACTAATAAAGAAGAATAATAGTTAAATTTTGTAATATTTTGAAATTTTTATTAATATTTGATAATAATTTCAAGAAACTTCTAGATTCTTTTTTACTACTATAAAAAGAATAATCTATATTAACAAATTGGAAAATCTTCCTAACTGAATTATATTATGTATAAGAAGTTTTATAATCTTCTAATTTATTCTGTAATATATATTAATTATAGTAATCAGTAAATCACATAATTATATCATGCATGAGAAGTTTTATAATCTTTAACTTTATTCTGTAATTTCAAGCTTTAGGTGAAGAATACAGAACTTAGAAATGAGAATACTAAAGTTAAGCATGAGAATGCAGAATTAAGATAATTTTTGAAAGTCATGAAGTCAGAATTACAAAGCTAGAGCAAGAAAAAAAAGTATTACTAATATTTTATAATCTCTGATTAATGGTATTCATAAACAGACTATCATACAAAATAAGAATACTTTAGCATCTGATAGATGCTTCACCTTATTATTTTGTAATAATATTTCAAATTTTGATAAGCCTAATAATATCTTGATATCTAATATATCTGATAGAGGTAAAGCTTCATTATTTTATAATAATACTTTAAATTCTGATATATGTCAGAAAGAAAATGAATTTCTGAATTTGTGATATAAGAAATAGATTAGAAAAGAGATAATTAAGAAAATTAGAGAAATAAAACTTCAGAATCAAAACTTATCTTTAGATAATACTTTATCAAAATTATTTTATGAAACTATCTAATTAGAATCAAGTCCTATCAATCAAGTACAAGATACTATTACTTCTGAGAATGAAGCTCATACCTATAAAGATACTTTTAAAAACTGTTCTATAATAATGAAAATTCTATATAATCAGAAAGTAGAATAAAATTTAATAAATAAGTTATCTAGTTATAGTAAAAAGAAAATTGCTAAATGAGACTTGAATATACAAATTTCTAATCTTTCTCTAGAAATAATATTAATAGGATCTAATAAAGTTATTACTAAGATTATAGTAAACTTGTTTAATATCACAATAAAAATCAGATAAAAGAAAAATTTATGTTGATATTGTTATACTAAAATATATGAAAATTAAGTTATATATATTAAATTCACAAATAATATTGATGACCAATCAGCTAGAATACTGATATATAATAAAATTAGATTGCTTCTTTCTAGTATTTCCAATATAAATTTATGTAAAAGAACTTTCAAAACTAAAAAAAGTTTATATATTATTTGAAGAGATAGGAATTGATATAATTAGATAAATAATTTATAGTGTAAATATTATTTCAAGTCTAACAGATATTCAGATTCAAAATATTATAAATTATTTCTGTAAAAAGACTATTAACATAAATAATACAATTAATTGCCAAGAAGTGATTGGTATTCTGAAAAAGAATGCACATATATTAGATCTACTTAACTTAAATAATTCATTAATTCTACTGATACAGCCAAAATTATCAAAAATCAAGATAAGTAATATAAAAATTAATATAAATATATCTAACAAATCCTGATCTTTAATTTCTGTCTTATCTAAAGATCCAAAAGAGAAATAAAAACATGTAATTAAAATAATACTAAAAAAGATTTTTAATTTATCTCTTAACTATAATAATAAAAATATTGATTATTTTACTTGTTTAATATCATGCTATATATATAATAAAGTTCATAAAAATAAAAATTTAAAAGGTAAGTGGGGTAGTGATAAATATGCCAATACAAGAATATATCATCTCAGATGCTA